AAAAGTCAGGGGGAGTAACCAGTATAATTTATGAAAAGGGCAAATTTCGATTGAAGTCTGCTCTTTTTCCAAAATGAAAAAAAGAGGACAAACTCTTCATACATAAAGATTTTCAGCAAGCTAAAGTGCTTTAGGGGTTCTGAAGTATTCCTTTAAAGAGCAAAACAGACAAATAGTAGTTAAAGGGACACTCCAGGCACCCAGACCACTTCTGCCCATTGGAGTGGTCTGGGTGCCAACTCCTACTACCCTTAACCCTGCAGCTGTAAATATTGCATTGCAGGGTTAACTCCTCCTCTAGTGGCTGTCTACCAGACAGCCACTAGATGGCAGTTCCTGGTTTATAGCACAGGTTTTGTGCTAGAGCGTCGCTAGATGTCCTCATGTTGTGTGAGGACCTCCAGCGTCGCTCAATAACCCTGGGGTCTCAGGTATGCAACATGGGATGGGTGGTGGGAGGGAGAGGGTATCTGCAGTGCCAGGAAAACGGTTTGTTTTCCTGGCACTGGAGTGTCCCTTTAAAGGGTCACCATATGCACCATAACCACTATTATGCCATACCACTGTTAAATGGGAGCTGTGGCTTCCCAAGATTTTTTTTAATATTATGTATCCGTATATTTAACAAATATGTATTTGTAATGTTTTTAAAATAAATATAAATGTAGAATTCCACTCCACATTATCCCATAACTGGGCACCTCCATCTTGGCTCCCTGTCAATCATTGTTATAAGCTCCGCCCTTTACACCTGGCAGTCAGTATAGAGAGAGCCGCCTCCATCTTAGCTCCCTGTCAGTCATTGTTATAAGCTCTGCCCTTTACACCTGGCAGTCAGTATAGAGAGCCACCTCCATCTTAGCTCCCTGTCAATCATTGTTATAAGCTCCGCCCTTTACACCTGTCTGTCAGTATAGAGAGAACCACCTCCATCTTAGCTCCCTGTCAATCATTGTTATAAGCTCTGCCCATTACACATGGCAGTCAGTATAGAGAGAGCCATCTCCATCTTAGCTCCCTGTCAATCATTGTTATAAGCTCCGCCCCTTACACCTGGCAGTCAGTATAGAGAGAGCCATCTCCATCTTAGCTCCCTGTCAATCATTGTTATAAGCTCCGCCCCTTACACCTGGCAGTCAGTATAGAGAGAGCCACCTCCATCTTAGCTCCCTGTCAATCATTGTTATAAGCTCCGCCCCTTACACCTGGCAGTCAGTATAGAGAGCCGCCTCCATCTTAGATCCCTGTCAATCATTGTTATAAGCTCCGCCCTTTACACCTGGCAGTCAGTATAAAGAGAGCCACCTCCATCTTAGCTCCCTGTCAATCATTGTTATAAGCTCCACCCTTTACACCTGGCAGTCAGTATAGAGAGAGCCACCTCCATCTTAGCTCCCTGTCAATCATTGTTATAAGCTCCGCCCTTTACACCTGCAATCAGTATAGAGA